TGTAAATTATTTTTTTCAGGAGATAACCCTATTTTATGATATGGAAAAGGTGATGATGTAGATTGGGAAATTTAGCACAGATTACATTTGTAGTTTCCCATTGTTTTCCTCTCTTTCGGTTCTACCTAACAAGTATTTTCAGTTGACCAAGAAAGTGCTAAAATTGCTCATTATCGGCTCAATATCAATAGTGTTTCAGGAAGAGGTGGAAAGCAGTAGTCAGTTTTGTTTAGTTCAAAAGTGTGTACAGTCTTTCATTCTTCAGGGTTGTAGGAGTCAGGACTCTTTTATATCCGAGCTCTTTTTTATCAGTTCAGACAAAGCCTTGCATTCTTCCCATACATGCCATCCACAGGAGGCACCGCAGGCTGACTGCACAAGGAGCAGACTGGACTCACACCTTACTGGGTGGGGTTGTTAAACTGCCCCTGGCCTTAGAAGCCATCGGAGGCCCCTGCTTCCAAGACATTTTGTTGTCTCTTTCGTATTTCCCACTACTGGGGATCATTTCCATTGTGTACTGTCATGTCCAGAATTGGATTTCTTATCTCTTCTTCCTTCATCTGCTTCAGGATGATTGGAAACATCAGGTTTTCTTCCTGCTCTGTCTTTAAACCTCCCAGTCTGCTTCACTTTATGCTTCATATCCTCCAAGTCATTAACAGCTGGGGAGTCTGGATAGGACAGATGATTTTGCTTGACTTTTTGATGGTAGACAACTGTGGGTCTGGCCACTTAATAGCTATGGTCGTTGGGCAAATGACTTTACTTACCAATTTCCTCATGTATAAAATGGGAATATTGTTTACCTTAGAAGCTAATTTTTCTATTAGAACCACATAGAGTATCATACACTAGAATATTTGCAGAATGTTATAAGTATTCAATGAATGGTAGTGTTGTGTTATTATTCAGTAAGAATATTGTATCTTGTATATTAGTTATTAAAACCTAGCCCAAGCTCTTGGTCCTTCTCTCTTGTATTACTGCCATGATTTCTTTGGTGATGTCCTTGTGTCCTAATCCACCTTGTTGGATTACTAGTTCTTAAAATTTGTTATTAGCATACTCAAAAATATTGATAGCTTCAGGCACCATCGTCCACATGCTGGGATCTGGCTTTCTGGCTTATTAAAAAGTTCTTTGAAAAAAAAAAAGTTCTTTGAAGGAACCTCTTCATTGTCTGCATTTACTCTGAAGTCCCCAATTCCACTCAAACTACTATGTTCATTGCTTTGCATTGAGGCCAGTTCTTCCAAAACAGTCTATCTTGATCTCGGTCTCGGTCTCTCTGTCTCTGTCTGTGTCTGTGTCTGTCTGTCTGTCTGTCTCCACATAATTCTCTGTCACACATCACACATACATGCACACATTCAGACACATGCACATGCACATATATACAGACACACACGAACAAAGGCCTTTGAGGGGATTATAGCATAAAATGTGAACTTCTTCCCATGATACCTCTGTCCCTGTGTGGACCAGCCCCTGCCTAACCTCCTGTCACAACATTCTTCCCTTTTGCTATCTCCACACTAGCCACAAGGCCCTTTCTTCCCTCTACTGCAATGTTCTTCACCACCCCTTACTCATTACTCCCATTCTTGGCCTACATGTTACTTCCTTGGCAAAGCCTTTCTTGGCTTAGTAAACTCTATGGACTCTTCCTCAATCCACAAACCCACCCTTAAACATTCAGCACACTCACATTCTACCTGCATGCCATGGTCCTTTTAGAGACATGCTCTCCCTAAGTCAGCAGCAAAGTCTGAGACAACTTCAGGTCATCGGTGGCTTTTTGCATTGTTGGGATCTGTGCTTGCATATAGCAGTAAATTTTAAAAACTCACTGAATTGGTGAGTGGAACTTGCTTTCTTCTCTTTGAGATCAACTGCCATAGCACCATAACATGGACTCATGTCATATTTCTTTAATCATTTTGTTATTAATATGTGATGCTGGAAGTTAACACCAATTTCCCTACCTGTAATGTCCACTTAGCTTCCTTCAGTCCCCCCAGATCCATTGCTCAAGACACAGCCCCACGTTTCTTCCACAGAGCCTCTGAAAGCCATGATAGTCTTGATGAAGATTTGTGTTTTGGGAGTTTAGAGCTCAGCACCATTTCACATTTTATGATTTTTTGCATCAAGCCTGTTATTTTACATTCCACTAACCTATTTTCCTAGTCAAACTGTAGGTGTCACAGAAACGTTTGGTACACACCTGGAATCCCAGCATTCTGGGAGGCTGAAATGGAAAGATTTCAGGAACCATGAACAATTGAGCCAATAGAGCGATCCTGTTCCAAAATAAATGTAGAGCTTTTTGAAAAAAATAAAACGGGATAATAAGAGGGAAGGGATATAAATACCTGTGACTATCTTGGATTCAAATCCCAGTGCTGAAAAGAAAAAAAAAATGAAGATCATTTCTCCATCCTCCTCAGACCATAAAACATACTGTCCAGCACACAGTAAGGTATAAAAATGTTCACTGAAGTAATATTTATATTTAGATACCAAGCTGCAAAAAGAAGACATTTTGAGAAGTTCATAGACTATAAATAAATGTGGCTGGGTTTAAACACAAGACTGGTGAAGTTTAGGCCTTGCCTTCATCCCTCTCCCATCTCTCTGAGGATTTCATGTTCTTAAACTGAAGGCGATTGCTAATGTGACATAAAATGGAAACCTCAAAAACCTCTCTCTCAAGGTTTAAAATCACTGAAAAGGACTTGTCCTTGTCATCTTAAGATGACAGTCTTGACCACTCCAGGGTACAAGTCACACACTTTAGGATTTAAACATTTTCCAGGACACGAAGTTTTTAGAATTCTAAAGTATGCTTAATAATTACAATGAATAAGATTTCTATAATTAGCATGAGCTTTTCAGGCTGCCAGATTACTCCTATGCTAAAACCATATGGAAAACATTGCTGTCTGAAGTCTCTTAAAACCTAAGACTAGGAAACTATTTTCAGCATCAGGAGCTACATTAAAAAGCTTGCAGTCACAGTAATCTACTAGCTGGGGTATGAGAAAAGCAGGATGCTCTGGATTAGCTCTATGGCATTGATAAAAAGTAAGCGTGGGACTTTTATTACAGTATCTTACAATCTTACAAGTCTGTCATATTACAGATGGATTATTAATTTTATCTGTCATCATTGAGGCAAGAAAAATAAAATTTCAAGAATAAAACAAGATAGAACCATTTTTTATAATGTATTAGGTATTTGGTAATATGGAGATTCGAAAACAAAAATAGTTTGAGAGCTGGCCAAATAGCTGAGATGATTAAAGTGCCTGCAAGCAGGTGCAGGGGCTGGGCGATTGATCCCCAGGCCTGCTGCGCCGACCCTGCCCCGGGGGCACTCTGAGACAGCAATTGAGACTGTGCGTGCTGGAACACTCCCATAGTCCCAGCTCTTGGGAGGCTGTAAACAGGAGGATCACTACAAGTCTGATCTAATAGTGAGACCCTGAACACCTTGTAGATCCTTCCCTAAAATTAAAAAAAAAAGAAAACAAACAAACAAAAAAAGAAAACAAAAATGGTCTGCATTTATTGTATCCAAAATCCAGTGATGGAATAGTTATCACTTGTAAAATGAAATATTTTTATTGAGATAGGAACCCAATAAAACCAATACAATGAAGTTCCTACACAGGAATATTTACATTGTATGTACCCGATAGCCACCACTGACATCAATATTTCTAGCCCCATGGAAGGCTCTCTTCTGGTGAAGCTACGTTCTCTGCCACGAGCTCTATTACCATTAGTTACTTTTGCCTGATAGTGAAAATGTGCAGGGCTAGGGCTGAAAAGAAATAAATTGCATACCATCCATATCTTCTTTTGTTTCTGGCTTGCTTTGCTTGACATACATTGATATAACACACGCTAATGATTTCTTTTTGATTGTTTGGGGAATTCCATTTATGAACCCCTTATGATATGATGTATCCGTTGTATCCATTGAAATAAGAGGGCCTCCATTTTTAGTTATTGTAAATAAAACATTGTGAATGTTCTTACACATACCTCATGATGGATGTGTGTGCTCATTTCTCTCATACCAATCATTAGCAGTGAGAGTGCTGGGTCAAAGGTGGGCATATGTTGTTTCATTGTAATATATGGTGCCGGGTTTTTCTACAGATTGACAATGGCACATTTTAACTTATAAACCAGGTATGTGACTCCAAAGTAGGTACTATTATGCAGTCCAAATTATGCCATTTGCTTATAGTTTATTGATATTTAACATTTTTAAAATACATTATATTAACTAAAGCACTAAAATTTTGCCAGCCCAAGTGTTGGTTTGCAATTAAAAGTGAAAGGAGTTGAAAAACATTTATAGCTTAAAATCCCATTTTAAAAATTCAGCTTTGTAGAAAAGCATTAAACAATTTGAACTTTAATAAATTTTTTGTCTTTGGTTAAATTGCTCTTTTATTCAGCATATTAAGAACTAATGAAAAAAAAGAACTAATGCTTGGCAATTAAAACTAATTAATAGTAATTTAGACAACTATATTAAAAACTTGTTAGTTCTGGTCAAATGAGAAAGCATTGTATAGAGAAGACATTTGGAAAAGGGTTGTGATTTGAACTAAACATATCGTTCTGTTGAATGATTGGAGTTTATTCCTCCTACTCCTGATTAAAAATAATACCTTGATGTCCCAGGCCTACTTATTTCCCGACCCTTTTTTTTTTGTTCTCACAAATCTATAAAGTGGATTTGTTTTTTCATATGGCTGGGGTATTATCTGACTTGCTTTCATTGTAATTTTCCTGCTTTCAATTTATAAGTTATTGTAGAAGGGAGAAGATGTTTATCTATTTATAAGACTGAAAACCCCAAGGCACTAAATTTTCTATGCAGAGACATAAGGAAATGGAAAGCCCCAGACAGAAGTCTCCCGTTATTTACTTCTGAATATAAAATAAGATGTGATTTTGCTTTTCTTTCATTTCAGTTATCTCAGGGATCTCCAGAACCAATTGAACCAAGCTTTTTCACAGCAGATTACCATTTATTACATCGTTCATCGGGTGAAAACAGCCTGTCCCCAAACGACCCCACAGGTAACAGCCATGAATATGGGCAATGTGGCTTTCACCAAAATATACAGTTTGGATCAACAGCTAACGCTAAAATATTTTCTCCAGCTGAAAAGAAAAGTAGAGCTTACTTTTGTTATCAATGGTAGTAGTTAGAAAGGATATATAGAAAGGGTATAGCAGTTCCCTGAGATTTATCTTACACACTGTGTCAGCTTCCTTGATCATTTATTAATGCCATAAACAAATAGCAGAATCTATGCTGGTGAATTCTATTTTCTTTTATTTCTTCTTGTTTGACTGGTGATGTCCAAAATCATCAGGGGAGATTAGGAATGGAAAGTTTGAATGTTCAAAATAGGGAAGCAGTGCAATTTACCTGAATAGGTCACATTAGATGTATTTAATTTTATATTGTTGTTGTCACAAATTTTACATAGGGAGGCATGATAGCCTAGGAACAAAAGGCATTGGTTCTGGAAACCGACCAGCCTAGATTCAAGTCTCAGTTCAACAATTTAGGGGCTGACCTTGGACAAATTATTTAACCTCTCTGAACTTCACTGTCCTTTCCTATAAAACAGAGAGAAATATGGTAATAGAATAATGAATAATGGACAAAATTTAAAAACAATGATGCCAACACTATAGAATTATAGGAAGTGTCGTGTGAGTGTAAAAGCACCTGGCCACTAGCACAAGCTCGGCAAGATTCCACTGTTCTGTCACATTTGACCCCTCAGAAATGTTCCAATTGCCCTGCTGTTTCAGAATTCCTAAATGATTATTGAATCCTCATAAACTATAGTTACTTCACTCAGTGGAATGGACAGAGATGAAGACTTTGAAGTTAAATGAAGATGTGACATCTTTTCAGGATAGAAAAATGCTCATTTTGTAAATGTTGCCTGAACTAATTAGCTTATGCACTATCAAACTGTCCCTGATTCTTGTATGGCCAAGGTAAAGCTAATGCCTGTGTAGACAGAACTGCATTTAGGACCTTGAACCGTGCATATGAGCAGGATAAAATGTTGTCTAAAGTCATGTGCTCTTTTTGTCAAAAACTTAATTTGTCTTATACATGTTTGTGCCATGTAATGATTATGTTCCTCATGGGGAGTTGGTTCATGTACATAACACATGTGAATTAAAAGGTTTTGCCAGGATAGATAAGTTCATCCATGGGCCAAACTTCTCCTTGTAGTAGTAAATGAGATGAAGAACTTTGATATAGAGTCTCAAAAACCTGAGCATGCATTGATAAATGCCTCCCAGGGCAGCTGGATTTCCTACTTCGGATCTGAGCAGTTGTCCCTGCAGGCTTGGCACAAGCAAACACAACTGAATCTACGGGCTCTGTAGGGGAACTATGTTTAAAGTTGGCTTTAAAAATCAGCCACCACTACTCCTATCTTCTTGTATTTCTCAATGTGCAACTCATTCTCTTTATTCTGTCCAAAAGAGTAGCGGAATTCCTGGGCATTTATGTGAAGTCAGTGTGGATTGATTCAAGTGGAGAGGAGTCTACAGTGCTTTGGAGGGGTTAAATTGTCTCATTAAGACAAACCATCAAAAAAAAAAAAGTCTCCGGTGGGGCCAGGGAGATGGCTCAGTAGAATAAGCACTTGCATGGCAAGCATAAGGTCCTGAGTTCAATCCCTGATTCTGGAAAAAAAAAAAAAAAGACTAGCTTTAAGTGTACTTTTTAAGGCAGTTACATGCAAGGGTCAAATGTTTGTTATCTTTTGCTTTTTCTGCCTTCCTATGAAAGATTATTCTCTTTCTAGCACATCTTTACTCTTTTTTGCCTGTGGGTTAATGAGAATTAATCAAAAAATTCATTCCTCTCCCCCCACACACAGTTGTAATTTCATGCTAATCTATACTGGGAGCAGCACCCCTACATCTTTATGTTATTTCATGGCCATCCCCAAAGTGACCAATTATTAAAGACAAACAAGACAGTCTGGAATTTAAGTGTCATCTTTATTATGAAGAAATTGACCTCTTTTGCTGCAGTTGAAGTCATAGTTGCCAATAAAGCATAACTAAGAACATGGAGATTGAAAATCATACTTTTATCATTCCTCTATCTCAGGTCCACCTACCAGCTTTGATTTGGAGGAGGGAATAACATATGAACAGATGCAGGTGAGATTTTTGCAGTATTGCTGAATGATTTTATTTTGTTGCTTCTAATTTAGTACTAAGCTGATTGATTTTTCAATTGTAGACCGTGATTGAAGAAGTCCTTGAGGAAAGTGGCTATTACAATTTTACATCTAACAGGTGAGATCTAAAGTTTGCTTGCAAATATGACAGATGACATGAGATCACAGGATAGAACCCTGGGCTCCTCCATCTTTAATTCTGGGACATTTCTTTTTCTTTTTTAAAACTCATTTTAAACATGTTTAAAAAGATCTTTGCTTAGATTGAAGTATGGGTCTAATATAGGCAGTATGATCAAAAGATGTGGTGAGTATTTAAAACAAAAATTTAAAACATTACTACAGTAAAAAAACACTTGGTGCTGACTGATCTCCCTGCTGTGGACACACTTATGCAATCATTCTTGCCACTTTATGAAGCTATTCTGGAAGTCTTCTTTCAAGTTTTTTTTCTTTTCATGGCTCTCTTGATGTCTTGAACTGATTCAAAATGTTTAAGGCCATTTTTGTCATACTAGATGACAACATCATGGTGCGTCCTTGTCCACCTTAATCAGTGGGTCTGGCAATGTGCAACTTTTGGCTCTTCCCCAAAGCCAAACATGAGGACAACATGCTTTGAATCAGTTCAGGACATTAGAGCAATCACTTAGCACAGTTGTAGACCCTCTTGAAAACAGACTGTTGGAAGCAAGTAAGAATGATGAGGTAAGTGTTGTAGGAGTCTGAAGGGGATTAATGACAATGTGTCTTTTACTATGATAAGTTTTTGAAATGTAAATGTTCACTGTATTTTTTGATCTTACCTCATATCTTGTCTGTCTTTTGCCTGGAGCAGCTGCTATAGTCTGTTCAAACAGAAAGTGGTCATTTTACCTTTACACCAGAAAATAATACTGACTGTAAGTGAAAACAGCATTTGTAGGTTGGCTTCTTAAATGAAGCATCCATTTTCAAAGAAGTGAAAATTCATCATCATCATTGAAATCTACCCACTGTGTGCATAGAATGCCAGAGAAAATGCGGCTACACAAAGAATCGCTGCAGATGAACTTGAAATATGTTGGTAGGAAAGGGGACTTAGTCATGTACTGAAATTTGCTTGCCCTAAATAAGGAACTTCAAGTTACTGGGGCTACATATACGTATACTATCTTCCATTGTAACTATTGGTGCTCTTAAAAATATACTATTTTTAGTCAATTTAAGTCCAGTTATTCTTGCAATTTGACTGTGGGCCTCAGTGTCAGCATGACAATTTGAGTGCAGGAGTTTGAGAAATGCTTCAAGCAGACACTGGTAGGGAGGGAAGTGATTATTCAGTGCAGATTTCATAAGCAAGAGAATTTCTACTGTGGAAGCTCCTGCCCCTGGAGCTTGGTCCCCTGGGAGCTCTGAGAACCAGCTCAGAACAGCTGCCTCAGAGTTACCCACTCAGAGCAGGAGAGCTGACTCCAATTTCCATCCATCATGTTTGAGGTCTTTCCCCAGGAAATGTTAATTCTCTCCTATTTCTAACTTTTCACAAAGGACAGAGAAAGCTCTAGAGGCCAGAGATATCCTCAGAAGCAGAAATCAGCTACTGGCAGTTAGGCTGCCAGCCTGTATCTCAGTGGTGTTGATGAGAGTGTATGCTCAGTGACAGTGTTTATTATACATTAGTTGTCCCTTGGCTTTTCCAAAGAGCATTCAAAACTGAATCAACAGGGCCGGCCAAATAACTCAGTGGATTAAAGCACCTGAAAGCAGGTGCAGGAGCTAGGGGTTCGATCCACTGGCCTGCTGGGCCGGCCCTGCCCCTGGGGCACACTGAGACGGCAATTGAGACTGGGCATGATGGCGTACACTTGTAATCCCAGCTCTTGGGAAGCTGTAAGCATGCAGATCACTATGAGTCTGATCTAGTAATGAGACCCTGAACACCCCGTAGACCCTTCCTTAAAAATACAAACGAGCAACAAAAAACCCAAAACTGAATCAATAAATTGTAAGTGCACACACACACACACACACACACACACACACACACACACACACACAATACGGCTCATCATTGGAGGCAGAGTCCTTTGAAGTATGTTCCCCAAAGTAGCTCGTTTTACATGAAAAAATAATGGCATCCAGTCCCAACTATTGAAGCTATTTTGTGTCCACTATTGAAATTATTCCTGAAATCTTTCTTAAGAAATACTAAAAGCCATGCTAAGACAAAGAGGGCTTAAGAACACTTGGCAAAAGTCACTAGGTAGAAATTAGATTTTTTAAGTTATTTCAGTCTCCTTTTTTCCTCCAATTTCAATGGTTTTTTTCTTATGAATCCCACATAAGATTATTCAGCTTCTTATTCTTTTTGCTAGACAATATATTTCCAAAATACAGTCCTTGTAAATTTAATTCTCTCATGATTTATAGCTGCAAACAAATGCTGAGTATTTCTTACTTTCCAAGGATACATTGTTAATAGAAATTATCATCACCAAACTCCTCTCCTCCCAGTATACCTGGAGAGATTTTTGAGTTTTCACTTTTTACTTGAAGATTGAGTGTATCTGGCCTTACACAGATATCATGAATGTCTCGGCTCTTAGCTCTCAGCATTTGACTTAAATATTCTTGGCTTGCAGTGGGGCAAAGGAAATCAACTCCATATAATTTAAAAAAATGTAGGAATCAGGTATGGTAACACACACCTGCACTCTCTGCACTTTGAGAAACTCAAACAGAAGGACTGCAAGTTTAGGTCAAGCCTGAGCAACTCACAACATAGCCACGCGGTCTCGAAATAAAAAAATTAAATCAACATCAAAAGATAAAGAACTGCTGGTGCAGCTCAGTGCAAAGAGCTTGGATAAATTCCTGGGTCCAAAACAAAAATTAATGAATTAAAAAAGAAAAAGAAAATGCAAAATTTGATAAGTTCAAAGAAACTCTTATAAGAACTCTTATTTTTTTCTTTTTTTTTAAAATTTTTTTTTTCTTGGATTTTTTGTTTTTATTTTTTTTTTTCTTTTTTTTTTTCCTGCAGGGTCTCACTGTTCAGCTTGGACTCATAGTGGTCCTCCTGTCTCAGATTCCCCAGCACTGAGATAATAGGTGTGCCCCACCATACCTGGTTTTAGTGGCTGGCATGGCATGCAATACGGAGAATCAAACCCGGGTCTTTGCATTTGCTAGGCAGGTACTTAGACTACTGAGCTATTTCTCCAGCCTATGCTTATGCTTTTTAGTTCCATTATCAGTTAAAAATTTTTATTCAGAAAGTGTACTTCTTGATTAAAAGATATTACAAATTTTCTTATAAAAAACAGATAATAAGTTGCCCTGTGAACAAGGTAAAAATTCTTCATGGTTATATTTGAAACCATAGGAGAAATATGACGGCATGATTTGAGCAGTGAAATTCAGGTAACTTGTTTATGACCTCAAATGTTTAAAAGATCCTGTAGGGCTGGGTGCAGTGGTACGTGCGTACAACCCCAGAACTCAGGAGACTGAGTCAGGCAGATTGCTATGAACTTGAGGCCAGCCCGGGCTATAAAATAAGTTTAAAGCTCACCTATACTGTGTAGTGAAAACCTGCTTCAAAAAGACAAATAAATAAATAAGTAAAAGATTCTCCAAATTAATTTTTTTTTGTAGTACCAGGGATTGAATTCAGGATCAATCTTGCCCTATACTTGCCAGGCAAGCACTTATTCTACTATCTCCCCAGACCTGCTCCAAATTACTTTTAAATCATATCTAAAATACACATCAATTTATATATTTGTTAATAAGTGTTAACAAAAATAGGTATTAACATATAAATACATATAGCTATGATATTCCTGGTTTGATTGCTAGGAACATATCAAGAGAACAATACAGTTTACTAGTAAAAGGAACTATAAATTAGTAAATCAAAACAGTTGGTCATGAGTTTTCTACAAAGCCTGGGCATGTTTAATGTCACAAGACATACAGAGAAATTTACAGCCTGTATACAGAATCAGTGGTATGGTTCACCCAAGTGGCATCCATAGAATGGCCAATATTATCAAAGGAAATAGATTTTCACTGAAAAATAGTTATGTGACCAAATATACTGCCACCATACAATGTTTTATTTTGGGAAATTTTGACAATCTTTGCCATATTAAACCTTGCAAGAAGTCCTATGGGAAAGAGCTCTGCTGACCCTGTTTTTACTCATCATTTCTGTGGGACACAAGTTGAGCAACATTAGCTAGCTTTGCAGTTGGGGACAGGAAACATCGCTTTGATTTGGCACACAAGGCCACCCCAGCTTTACTCTTCTCACCGCCATTGCCATTATTTTCACGTCATCTCCAACATCGACATCATTGCAAAACATATTAACTTACTTTGCTTGACAATCTTTCCAAAGGAATTGCATGGGCAACAATTTTATTATTCAACCTGGCAGCTTAAGACTGTTTTAGACTTACACAGATCACCTTGCAGGTCACTGAACCATTTAAACTCTGACCCCGTATAGTTTCTGCTCAGACCACAGGCCTGATGATTTTTAAGTAGGAAGGGCATGGTGCTAGGTTCAGACTGCACATCACCTATGTGTTACCTACATTTGGAAAACGTTTCTGGAACTTCCAAAATAATGGAGAGCTGCAAGGACCACTGACCAAAGCAAGAGGAAACAAGGACTGAGCTGAGAGGCTGAGAGCAGGACAAGTGACAGAAGGATCAAGTAGGCTCCACCAGCCTCATAACTGAGTCCAGAGCAAGTCTCATTCTCATTTATTTATGGGATGTTTTGATCACTTGTGTTTTATATACATAGTTACAGTTTCCTTACCAGAAGGACACAGCTGAGTGTGCCTTAATTTTATCATTTTTATGGGAGTATGACTCAATGAATACATGGCAAATATATCACCTTTATGAATATACTTAGGGATGAGATGTACTTTATGTTTTATTTTTATTTTTTGCAGTACTGGGGACTGAACTCTGAATCTTGCACTTGCAAGGCTGGTGCTTGTGCTGCTGAGCTATCTCCCCAGCCCGATATGCACTTTAGTATTTGATTTTTTGACAGTGAGACACACCTTGAGAAATGATAATATACAAGATAAAATGAAATCTACATTGAATCAATAATCATTACTTTGCTATGCTCAATGAACGTGTACTTATTTTAAGACCTATAGCTGTTCAAATGTTAAAGCTGCTTTTGAATGGGTATTGAGGGTGTGATCCTGCGTACTTGTAGCACTTGGGAGTCTGAGAAAGGCGTATCACTGTGAGTTTGAGGCCAGTCTGGATTATTTAGTGAGTCAAGGCCAGCCTAAACTACAAAGTCAAAAAAAAAATTACACTTATTTTTATACTATAACGGATGATCACTTACAGTTTATAGATTGATAGACTCTGTTAGCACTAGATTTTAGTAAAAGACATCTTCCTAGAAATGTTCTTGTGCTAATAAAAAGAATCACGTTTCATTCATTGTGACTTCCTTACTTATGTACCTGAGTCACAGCTTCTGAAGCTGGATGTACAAATGGCAGTATCTGTGACTACTGAGAACTCCTTCATTTCTCAATTTTCTAGGTACCACTCCTATCCATGGGGGACCAAGAATCACCCAAGCAAGAGATGAAAATGCACTTTGAATGCCCTCAATTTTCCTGGTGAAGTTCAAATTCTGATTTCATCCACTGCTGCAAGATGTCCAAGGACTGAATGTCCACGGAAGGGGATGGGAGAGCGAAGACCAAAATGCCATGGAGGCTGCAGGACGTTTTTTCAGGAGGCCTTGTGTAGGGGTATATGACAGCTGTAGTTCTAGGGAATTCCCTTCCATTGGTCGCTCTATACAAGGTGGCTGGGCTGTCAAAGTATTCCTGAGAGAAAATGCTGCAAAATTCATCTGTTTGTGCATGGATGGAGGGGGCCATACACATAGAACTTTCCTCCAAGTTAAAGAGAAAAACTTGTTATATTTTTCAAAGAAACATTTTATACTCAGGATTGCTGAAAATATAGTGAAAGACATCTACTCTTCCATGTATATATAGTTTTGGATAAAGAAAATTACAGGACACAGAATGATATATTGGGTGATTCACTATGGCCCCAATTTTTTATCTTAAAATATTGTAATTTTTTTTAAAGAAAGGGTTGGTTCTCTTAACCATTTGGGTGCTAGTGGTCTTGAACCACAGTACAGTGTAGACAGTATTTATAACCTTGCACAGCATCTGGGAACAACTATTAATTGTCAGATTTAACTTAGGTGTATAGCATATATTGATGTATGATATA